ATTACTTATAATAAGTGAAAAAAACCGATACAGGTAGAGAATACCTAGAGGCATGAGAAAACTCTCTCTAAGCAATTCGGCAAAAGGGTGCCTCTTCACAAAGGCGGTCGCAGTGACTAGGCCTCGGCAATTGTTTACCAAATACACACGTCTCTGCAAAATCTTAAGACTATGTATGGGGTTGACGCCTACCTAGTACCGAAAGGTCAAGGATGTTGGTGACCTGATGACAAGGGAGTCGGCGACCAAAGGTAGTAAAATTTTTTGTCAGGTACGTTCCAACCTGCACGAGAGACGTAACGATTTGGGCACTGTCTATTGAACTTTAAATCTCCCATAAATAAACGGAAATGCATCTTTTTAAGTATTTCTTAATTGTTATGTCTTATAACCGCAATAAGATTTTTTAAGAGAAGAGAATTCCACTTTTTATTAATATATTCACCTAATTAATAAAATTTGAAATTATAATTTTATTGACTTGAGCCTTAATTTCTTTTTTTAAAAAGAAAATTGTGAAATTTATATATTTTATTTGTCAGATTCTTTTTTCTGAAGAATATAAATATATATTTTGCTTGTCCTGATATTCCAGGAAAAACAAAATTCTTTTTATGTGTTTGGAATGTTTTTTCTGTGTTTTATTATTATTATTATTTTCTGTTTGTTTGAGTTTGTGGTTATATATTTGGAATTATAAAATATTTATTAATTATATCTTGGTTGACTTTTGAGTTATTTTATTAAAAATATTTTAAAAAATTATTATTTATTTAAATATTTTAGATAATTACTCTTTAAAATTTAAGCTAAATTTAGCTATCATTTCTAAGGAGAGAAAACAATCAAATAACGAAAATGACATCAATACAGTGTTTTCGAAATCTGGAACACTAAATTAAAGTCATACACAAGAACGTCCATATAATTTAGAGAAAAAGATGGAATCTTATCCAACTGCTTATTTCAATATCTTGTTTTTATATTTTCCCGTATATATTAGAAACCTCGAAAAAAGAAAACAAAACGATAAGATTAGAATGTCATCCACTCGCAAAATCCGTCCTCCTAGTCATTCCCGAGTCGATTGTTAGTTGAAGTTTCGTTGTGGAGGAGGGGGGGAAATAATTTTAGGGTTGTTTGTGGAATAAATAAAAATAAATATGTGGGTATAAAAATGTTAGAGAAAAAAGGGCATATTGGTCCAAAATTTACCAGCTTTATTTTCCTCATAAACTTCCAAAGGAAAAAGAACAAAAAACAGGAAACAAAAAGATTCTCCCAAATATTTGTTGATAGTGATTTTCCTTAATTCTCCTTTGCATTTATTTAGATTTTATCCCAAATAAATATTTTAAAAAATATATTAATTTATTTTTAATATAATGTGTATGATTCATATGCCTTTAAGGAGTCAACACCACATAAAATGTCAGCCCACTCCCTTTGAATTTCTATTAATAATTCCCTAAATATTCATTATTTTTATTTGCTTCCTTTTTTTAAAAAAAAAATAAGAATTTTTTTTTAAATGAAAATAAAAATATTTATTAATAGTATATCTAAAGGAATAGTTTTTTATGTACGAACTTTTATTACCCGATGTGATGTAATATTCTAAAATGAATTATAAAACACAACCTATGACGAAAGGTGTTTTGAAAATGTCAGAATTTAAATCGTCCTATGTTATATTCTTTGATTTGGTCGAATTTGGAAAAGATATTGGATTCCTTATTTAGATATTGAATTTCCGTTCTTAAAATTACTTTGTAGATTGATAATGATTTTACGGTCGTAGGGAAATATAATATAAGGTATAAAATCGTACGGATTAGTATAATATGTAAAGCATATATTTTGATGGAAAAGGGGAATCAACGTGTGAGATCCTGTCAAAGCTGTCATTTTTTCATTGGAGTCTTCTTCAAAATATGAACTAAATATTTCAGTGGCTCAGAGGGGTTCAAAAAATTTGACTAATCTAATCCAACACGTATATTTTGGGTTGGGTTATGAACTTACTTAGATTGGGTTCGGTTAAAATAAATAAATAATTGATTTAAAATTAATAAAACGTGAAAGGAAATAAAAGAACAGAAAATAGGGAATTTTTTTCCGACAGTCGGTCAAGCAAAAAACCACATGTCGGAAGTGGGTTGTGCGTCAGCTGGTCTAATTGTATTATAACCACCGGTTCCAGACAGGCTCCGCACCACCACCGCTGATTACACCCACCAACTTGGTCAAATATCGGCTCCCAAACTGCTATATGCACCCACTTCCTTTTTTTCTCTCTTTTTTTAATTAATTAATTTCCCCAATTTCCTCTTGCTTTTTTTAAAGTAAATAATAATAATAATTATTATTAATTATCGAAGAAGGTTAGTGATATGTTGTGCCTTGTAAATTCTTTTACATTTAAACTTCATGAGAGTTATCAATGTAACATGCATAGTAAATAAATATTATTTTTTAATTTAATTAAAAAAAACGACCCAACAACTTGAAAATATAGGATTGAGTTAGGTACAAATTGGTCCATAAGATTTTTTTTTAACCCAATTCAACACGGTACACCTCTAACATTTAATAGCTACATTAGCTCGTGAAAAATAATTATTTTAATTTTTAATTTGATTTAAAAGTGTGATTTTTAGGAAATAAAAATTTTATAATTAAAAAAGAAGTAATTAATTAGTGAAAAAAATTGCATAAAATACCAAAAAATGAGATTTGGAAAGCTTGATTTTATGGTTAGCATGAGACCGTACACGTAAAGCTCTGGCATTTGATTCTTTCCACGATCCCACGTTAACAATTTTTTTTTAATATTTATATGTAAAAAAAAAAAAAGTTAATTAAAATTTAAAATTGTGAGAATTATTTAGAGGTCAAAGGAACAAGACAATGAGAATGATGTCACAATTTTTTTAAAATAAAAAATTATTATTATTGACATTAATTTGGATTTGATAAGAGGATGGTGGAAAATGACGCAACACTTGAAAATGTGGTGATAAAAGGTATTAATTAAGCTATAATTAATATTAATTTTTGGTTAATGCTTAATGACTTAATGTCTTTTAAAGATTAAGGGAAGATTTTCATAAAAACAGGGATATTTTTGTGTTATTTGATGTTGCAACATGTCGCAATTTCATTGGCCGATTTGTTTTCGAGAATTTAAGAATGTTTTGGCTCATAACTTTAAAACTTTCGAATAAGTGCTAGTTGACATAAACTCGAACCCATTAGATTTTCTCGAATTTGACATATTTATGAAGATTCTCCGAAAATATCTCGGGTTACTTGTAACGTATCTCACTAATCTCAGCAGAAACCCTAGTTTTAGAGGTCGGTAAAAGGTCGTTAATCTCATCACAAACTCGTGTGCTTAAATTATCTACAAATTAGTCATGAACATATGTTTTTTATTGCTTGGACTCCGAAAAACACTTAAAAATATGCTGAAATAGACGTTGAACTCGACTCACGATTTTAACTGTCGATTAGGGTAGGTTGTGAACGCATTTCACACACATTCAGCTCAAACCGTATAAAACTCGAAAGAGTGAGATGGGAGAGCAAACGAACATTAATCGCTAATATCGAGAATATTACGAGTGCACAAGTAGATGCACTTTTTCTGCTCGATTTAAAGCATATTTGAAGAAAGTTGATAGGCATTAGGCCATTCGTATGTATATCGAAAATATCAATTACTTCCCATCGTTAGCTTTCGAGCTCCTCAATATACAAAAGTATTAACACGTGGACTGATATTTTGATTCGATCGATTTCATTTTCGTAACTAGTAACGGAGGATCTTTTATTTTAAAGATGAATATGAATGTATCATACAGCTAATAGCTTAGGGCTAACGTGAAAGCCAAAGTATTAATTAAGGCTTAGGTAATTAATTATAAGCTAATACTTTAGAAAGACAACGAATCGAGTTCATGTCTCACGTTAATTAAAAAAAACCCGTAATAAATAAATTAATTAATTAAGCCCTAAAAGGTTACCTTTTTGGCCATGTTGCTCCCATACTTTCCCTCTCTTTTTATATAATGGAATCATATGCAACTAATTTTATGTTAAAAGTATGATTACATAATCACCTTAATCCTAAATTAACAATTAAATATCGTATTAGGTTAAGTCGAGATGTCGAGCTTAAACATTACGGTTAAAGATTTAGAAACTAAATAAAAATGGTCGTGACGCACGAGTAAATAAGAAGTACTAAGACCCGAATAACAAGATGCACCTTTCTTTACCCGTACAGCTACAGAAACTTCATAATTAAACGTACAGAGCTTAAGAGATTCATACGTCGAGTGGAGCGTTGCCTCTCAGTTATATATTAACGATCTCGAATCATTAATGGAAAATATTTTAATCGGTTTGGGTTAGGGTCAAGGAGATTCCATGTTCCTCTAGGAAGGGAAGGGATAACAATTTGTCCTTTGGAGCTTCCATAGGCTTATTTTTTTCCCTTTTTTATATTTTATTATTATTATTATTATTATTAAAAATAAATATAAATAAAAATAAATAAATAAACAATTGGTTGACATGCTTTTCAGCTGGCGGAGAATCGGCTAACGTAAGCTTATAACTTAATTTTTTTTTCCACTTTTAAATCATTTATAAATAAATTAAGAGTGTGTTTTGTTTTATATATTTTTATTTTTATAAACATTAATTAATTTAAATTTTACTATAAAAAATATTTTTTCAAAGATTTAATGAGATTTATCAATATAAATTGTTAAAAATAAAATATGTTAAGAAGACCCGAATTCTGAATCTTGGACATAGTGTCGAAGCCATTAAGTACCGAATCCAAATTACGAATTCTGGGTATAGTGTCGGGGCCATCAAGTACCGAAAATAAAATTTAGACCTATAGTCTATGTATGAACCGATAGTGGAAGATGACGTTTTTGTCACGATTTTTTCTCGGTTCCAAACTAAAAAGTAAGAACACTATATGAGATATCAACTCAGGTCAGCATCATATATATGTTGAGGTTGAAGAAATTCACAATCTAAACAACAAGTTCATCACAGGTAAACAGTAGTTCATTTTCAAACTTTTGCAGAACAAATCTCTCTACTGAGGTTATAAGATTAGTAACCATACATTTCTCCTCGGAAAACGGTTTCCTACCTGTTCGTCCAGCTCGATGAAGATAGTCGATGGCAGTTCGAGGTAGATCAAAGTTGTATATATGAGTCGTTTCGGGTAAGTCGATTCCCCTGGCCACTAAGTCAGTTGCTACAATAAGATAACTTCCTCCTTGTCTCACTTCCTGCATTCCAAACAATCAAGAACACAAATACAAACATGTTACAAGTTAACATTAAATATTGAGATTTTGAGTAGAAGTTTATTCATCTATTGGGTTTCACTCTCCTTTTCCATTTTCTCTCCTTATGCAACAAATATTGAGATATTCGTAGTTCGTTTTTTCTCAATATACAATGTCGTGCTTTGGACCGACCCAATGGACGAAAAGTGATGATATATATATATAATTATGTAAAGAGTAAACAAGATCGACAATGAACCGTTTCCTACAAATCTGTGGGTGTAAATTCTCTCCGATCATAATTGCTTTAGAGTGAAAGAAGGGAGAGGGAAGGAGAATATGCTTAACCTCTATCGGTATGAAAAACGAAGATGATATAAAGGTTCAGAACACATGCTCATTCAAACAGCTAGCGAATATCAGATCAGAATCATCAGATATCACATCCCAGTTAAATGATCCTACTGCAGTTCTAACACCGCGCTCAGTTAATGGTTGGAGAAAGATTGCATACTAAGCTTACCGATAGGGAAGCTGCTCGTGAATTGAAATTTACGTCTTCGTCGAGAAGGACGACATCAGAACAACCATCATATGAAGTCTTTAAGAAATCAATCATCAAGGTTGCTGGTGGAATCTTTCCAGCCTTCTTTGACCTCTCTGACTGAAAATAAGAGCTCAGTAAATTGAGCAGAGAGGATAATCCAATGTAACAGGATCAAATAAATTGCACTGGCTTTCTAGAACTAGATTTGCCTCAAATCCAGAGTTCAAGACTAAAAAATATGAACCTATAATGGGCATTGATATGTAGCTACAGACATGCTTATAGTTTAATATGATTTGTGATTAAACGTTTTCTCGATTTTAATCTTTCAAGGGCGATAGAAGATGATATTTGGAACCACATTACAAAAACAGCCCATAAGAAAAAAAGATCCTCGATTCATTGATGATTTGTAGCAAATATGATACGGCATAGTAAACCATGAACAATCTGAAAGCTTCAAGCGAAAATAGCTGTGAGATCCCACATTGGTTGGAGAAGGAAACAAAGCATTCCTTATAAGGGTGTGAAAACCTCTCCCTAGAAGATGCGTTTTAAAACCTTGAGGGGAAGCCCGGAAGGGAAAGCCCAAAGAGGACAATATCTGCTAGCGGTGGACTTAGGCTGTTACAAATGATATCACTGGGCGGTGTGACAGCGAAGACATTGGGCCCCCAAGGGGGGTGAATTGTGAGATCCCACATTAGTTAGAGAAAGGAACGAAGCATTCCTTATAAGGGTGTGGAAACCTCTCCCTAGAAGACGCGTTTTAAAAACCTTGAGGGAAAACCCATAAGGGAAAGCTCAAAGAGAACAATATCTGCTAGCGGAAGGCTTGAGCTATTGCAAATGGTATTAAAGTCAGACACCGGGTAGTGTACCAGTAAGGACGCAGGGCTCCCAAGGGGGGTGGATTGTGAGATCCCACATTGGTTGGAGAGGGGAACGAAGCATTCCTTATAAGGGTGTGGAAACATCTCCGTAGAAGACACGTTTTAAAAACTTTGAAGGGAAACCCGGAAAGAAGAGCCCAAAGAGGACAATATCTGCGGTAGGCTTGGGCTGTTACAAATGGTATCAAAGTCAGACATCGGGTGGTGTACCAGTAAGGACACAAGGCTCCCAAGGGGAGTGGATTGTGAGATCCCACATTGGTTGGAGAGGGAAACGAAGCATTCCTTATAAGGGTGTGGAAACATCTCCCTAGAAGACACGTTTTAAAAACCTTGAAGGGAAACCCGGAAAGAAGAGCCCAAAGAGGACAATATATGCGGTGGGCTTGAGCTGTTACAAATGGTATCAAAGTCAGACACCAGACGGTGTACCAACAAGGACGCTGGGCTCCCAAGAGGGGTAGATTGTGAGATCCCACATCGATTGGATAGGGGAACGAAGAATTCCTTATAAGGGTGTGGAAACCTCTCCTTAGAAGACGCGTTTTAAAAACCTTGAAAACAAACCCGAAACGGAAACACCAAAGAGGACAATATTTGCTAGCAATAGGCTTGGATTGTTACAATAGCAGCAGTTGGAATATTGTACTTATTTATCTCACTTTAAGGCAATCAACACAAACCTGCTCACTGACAAAAATGATTGCAGACTGAGGTTTATCTGTGAGTAGTACACTCAGGAAGGTTTGGTGTTTTTTGTTCTTGTCACACATCTGTCAAACAAAAGGTAATATCTAAGCAAGTTACATCTCAAAATGATTAGAAAGAAGAAACTCTATATCCAGTGAGATGGCTGAGGATAATTACTTCTGAATGAGCAATAAAATCTCTTACCACAAATCTATGGAGCAGACACGATGGCATGGGCTGAACTGCGTTAATATGAACATGGATTATATTATTCTGCAAGACAAAGAGAGGGAAAGTTCTAACAAGCAGATAAAACTAATGGCTGAATTGCATCACATATTGGAAGTAACCAAAAAGACATCCATATACACACCTTTGTCCACTTCTGCTGTATGCATTCCTGAAGAAAATGCCTGTGCTGGGGAATTGATGCACTTGCAAACACAGTCTGACGATTACTGAACATAGAATATGATGTCAAGATTTTCTTCAGAGAACTAACTTGCTTTGAGGAACTAAACATGAAATCAACCTGGCAAACGAGCGGAAAAAAAACGTCAATTCCTTGAAATAAACGTTTCGAATGAGCTTACTTCATCAGCAGTTTATAGCTACACGACCTTCCAATTACGTGATTTGTCATGAAAGTATGACCCAAAAGCTTACTGAAAATAACTTTTTTTGTGCAAGTACCTCGTCAATTATCAGCACCTTTAGTGAGGCGAGATCAAGAAATCGCCTCTCAACCATTTGACACAAGCTTCCTACTGTTGCCACCAGTATACAAGGGGGATCTGCCTGAAAATTTTAATATCTCAAACTTACCATCTAGATGCAAACTTATTTACTGTTAACCACAAGCCAAGAAAGTGAAGAGAATCGGAAAAAAACAATCCAAGGTTGTGATATCCCACGTTGGTTGGGGAGGAGAACAAAACACCCTTTATAAGGGTGTAGAAACCTTTCCCTAGCAGACACGTTTTAAAGTCTTGAGGGGAAGCCCAAAAGGGAAAGCCTAAAGAGGACAATATCTGCTAGCGGTGGGCTTGGGCTGTTACAAATGGTATCAGAGCCAGACATCAAGCGATGTGCCAGCAAGGAGGTTGTTCCCCGAAGGGGGGTAGATACGAGACGGTGTGCCAGTTAAGGATGTTAGGCCCTGAAGGGAAGTGGATTTGGTGAGGGTTCCACATCGATTGTAGAAAGGAACGAGTGTCAGCGAGGACGTTGGGCCCTGAAGGGGGGTGGATTGTGATATCCCACATTGGTTGAGGAGGAGAATGAAACACCCATTATAAGGGTGTGGAAACCTTTTCCTAGTAGACGTGTTTTAAAGGTTTGAGGGGAAGTCCGAAAGGGAAAACCCAAAGAGGACAGTATCTGTTAGCGGTGGGCTTGAGCCGTTACAAAGGTCATGTGTCGAATTGAAGAAATTCAAAACGAAACCCGATGACAATGCAATTATGTTGTCAACAAGTAATTCAACTTTTTGCAAACCATCTAGCCAAAACACTTCTACTTATGCAAATAAACTTTATGCACGAAGAAAAGAGACAAATGCAGCACCTTCAACCAAGTCTTGTGTCTTCTCAACAAGCCTCCATCTAAAAGAGCCATGACAACATAAGATTTCTGCCCAACTTCATCCGCCGTTGCAGGCTTTGCAGCTAACATCCTAGCAACTTTAGTAACCTGGCATCCATTCCACCAGGTCAAATACAACATTACCATCAACATGTAAGAAGCATCAACCAAACACCCCGCCCCCTCATTCAGAACAGCAATAGAAAACAGATTTCAGAACTACAGAATGAAAGATAAGTACAAATGAAATTAGTGGAAGATACAAAGTCCAATCTTACTTGAATTCCAAGCTCCCGGGTGGGTACTACAATCAGTGCTTGCACAGCTGACTTCTGAGCGTTGATTACAGAAAATATCAATAGCAAATATGTCAGCGTCTTCCCAGAACCTGTCTAAAAGGATAAGAGTAAGCAAAGAACCATATACAGAATTTACACAAACAAACAATACTAAGTATCCACATTCTGCAGGAATTTTACTTGAAATACATAGATTTGACCTGCGCATGAAGCACGCAATCCCGACCAGAAAACAGAACTGGAAGAGCTTGCCTCTGCACACCAGTTGGGGCAACAAATCCAATTTCCTCAGCTCTACATCATTTTAGAGAAGAAAATTAAGGGAAAAGAAAACACCCCAGAAGACATAATATTAGAAATGATAAATTAAGAAGGAACCCACATGATATGGAGGAATATGGACACTTACCTGTCCAATATATGATCGGGAACATATCCATTACAGATCTCGCGGAGAGAGGAAGCCTCGAAATTAGAATCGACGGCATTGTTTAAAGAAGATGAGCTCATAAATGCTTTCGGAGGCCTAAATTTGGGGGTGGAGCATATGGGTCCATTGTTATTGATAAGTTTTGGTAAATAAATTGGATAGCGGCGTTCAGATGAGACGGGCAGCCAAGGGGGAGGAATTTTGGTAGACGGAAGAAGCGTTGCGGCCATTGGAAATGGAATGCCGCGCCTACGCAATACAGGATGGGTTATTAAGGAGGAAAGAGGAGATGAAGAAGATGAGGGTGTAAGAGAAATGGGGAGTCGGGTCGTAATGGAGAGTTCCCGGCGCCGGTGGTGAAGCAACCGCCGTCTTGCTTCTGCGAGCGGCGGGGCACTGTGGAACCCAACCGTCTCAAATAAGTTCAGAAGGGTATTGGATAAGGTAAAATTTTGGGTAAATTATCACATTTTTAAACCTTTTTTTACTTTTTTTTACAAAAAAATTAAAAAAAAAAACTTTTTTTTATTCATGTGATTTGATTTTGACGTAATGAATTACATTTTTTATTTGTTAATTTCAAAATTAAGTTTATAAAAACATTTACTTCATGCCAATTTTTCAATTTAAAAGAATTATAAAAAATGATTTTATTTTATAATTTGGAGTTTTGCTTGAATTGATTATTAATTCTTAAAATACATGAATTTTAGAGAATTTTAATTCCGTCCATAAACTTCAAAAAAAATTATTTTTTCATTAAAATTTTTATTAAAAATTAATGGTAAAGAGATATAATATGGCCACTTGTAAAATAATGGTATATGTGACAAATTTCAATTATGCGCTTGTGCTGTCATCGAAAGTTTCATTTCAAACTTGACCATTCCAAATAGTTTATGAACTAGAAGTGAGCAAACCAAAACAAAAAGTCAATTTGGCTAGTTGAAATCGACATAATTGACGTAACATGAGCTCAGTCAATAAGCCTACTTGCACGTATAGACAATAATAGAGAGAAACTTGTCGATCCCCACGTACGGGCTATCAGACATAACTGAAGGGCTCTGATGCATGCTTTCCTGTAAAAAAAAAAAAAAAAAACAATGGCAGTTCCTTCGTAAAGGTACACAGCATAATCCTAACTTGTCTTTACGAAGGTCAAGCTATCATGGTTGAATGAGATTAGATTTCAGCCCATGTTCATATAGGGGCTGAATTTAGAAGACTTATTATTTCCCAAGTCCCCACTTTTCATTTAACATTTAACTATGAAATTGGTATTAGAAATAAGATGTCAGAATAGTCAATACATAGAATCCCTCCATCTCCAGCTGCTTCCTGTCAAATTAAAAGAAGCAAGCAAGAATTGTAATAGACTCGATATGGTTTTTGCAGTGGCGTTGGCGTACGCCTAATTGTCAAATAACACAACTAATTTGCTAAGAAAAATCTCTTTTTCTGCCGTTTGTAGTAAGATAAAGCTCTCATAAAGGTCTAAACTTGATCAAATTATGTTCTTGAAACTTAATTCAACTTCCCCCTATGGCATACAGTAAGAAAAGATACCCTAACAAGATGGGATGAAAATCCAGTTCCTACAGCTGCTGATCTACCTTAAAAAAACATGAGAGAAAAAGAGTAAACAACCGTGAAAGCCTTACTGTCAAACTGGGGGGAAGAGAGAGAACTGCTACTGAATCTGTCATCCCTGACCTTTTGCCTACCAAATATTGAACTAGTGTTCGACTTATCAGAGCGGGCTCGAGCCTTTACTTCCAGTTGTTTCAGAATTTGGAGGAGAGAACTTGGAGCTAATAACCATAAATGAAAGAAATTGTTGTGAAAAAACCAGCCGTATCTTCTAGATTCCTGGCAATAGGACATGGATAAGGTTACTCAACAAATGGCTTGAAGTTACAATCAGATAGAGAAATGCAAAAACAAATGCACTATATGCAAGTCTAGCCGTTTTCTATCAATGAGCAAACTGAAAAGACAGTGCAAGTTCCAGGATTATCCAGATATTGGTCACTAGTTAATTCACTGCATAGATCACAGCCTTAGAGGCGTTGTAACAGACATTGAGGGTATAAGAATTTAAGGCAAAAGATAAGATAATTAGTATACTGATGTAATATGACATTCAAAATGGAGTGTGTTTAGAAAGGCAGCTGACGAGAAATCAGGACAACAAAGCCACTCGCATCGTCATATGCTAGAAATTAGACGACAAAGAAGATTGTGATCTTAAGGGAAAAAAAAAAATTAAATAAATAAAAACAAGAACCTGTGATAGCATAACTGTGTAATTCAAAATCTGATTAGTTTTCGATACTATGTGAAAGTTTGACTGCATTTTAACCAGATCTCTTGCGCAATAATGAGTGCCATAAAAGAAAAACAATTATAGAACTTACATTAATCAAGGGATTGAACAAGCTCATAGTTTCATCACTTGAATGAATACTTACTTTTTTTCTGTGCATGCCATTTTTGAATACTATCATACCAAACCCATTGAAAACACAAGCCCACAATCCTTATTATCCCAGCAGTAACAACTTCAAGGAAAGCCATCAAGCAAGATCTCTGAGGAGATAAGCCAGCAGTTGCTACGGACAATAATGCTCCTTCAAAGTTGCAGGGAATTATAAAGCTACCAGATTTAATGCCATTCAAAGCTTTTTTGGCAACTAACTCAGCTTTCATCCTGCCTCCTCCAGCGGCAATGATATTGGTCAATTCAGGCCTTCTCTTTTCCTCTGCGATTAAGGATATGTAACTTTTAAAAGGAGAAACAAACTAAAAAAAGATCCTATATAATAAATTGAAGGATTTCTGTCAATGCAGCCTTCAAAATAGCATATAACCTGAGATATCCAAAAAAGAGGGCTACTAGCTCAAATAAATCCTAGCCGTGTAATAGCCTAATTAGTTTATCTTTCAAACATTTACCTCATATCCTAACCTAAACCAATGGGCTGAAAACTGAGCTAAAAAATCCAACCCACTGAGTAAATATTGAAACCCTGCTTGAGGACTAGCAGAACAATACAATAAGGTAAACCAGGTCTTGCTTTATACATACCTTCTACTAGTCCAGGAGTGTCAGTGTCTGGAGGAAATATAAGAGAAATATGTATGTTATCTCCTATAACCTCCTGTTGCAAGGCTTCTGCCAAACCACGAAGCCCAAACTTACTAGCTGAATACGCCGTGTAGCCATAAACACCCACCTACTCATATTTACAAAAGGAATTCGTGAGTAAAGGATTACCACTTCTACTGAATTTTCAACTCAGCGAGTGTCTGCATGTTATCAATGACATTAAATTGACCCTAACAATCGAAGAAGTTCACTCTAGAGTAGTAGTTGGCACTTGTCAACACTTTTTCTATTTGTACTTAATCAAATGCTTCCTCTCAAACCATTCAAAGTATTTTTATACTATCAAAAAGACTTGAGGTGATTAAACACTATGACTATGACCAAGCACACCCTATATACTAGCAGTAAACAATCTATGCGCCTTAATTCGCCCTCCTTTATGTGTGCGCACATAATTTACTCGCATACCTCATACCACCATGAGAGCTCATTAATTGACCCTTCAACATGATAAAGCGTCACTTGAATATTAAAAAATAATCAATGCAATTGCCCAATAAAGTAGAAAGCAGATAGAAACACAACTACCTGACCGGCCTGAGAAGACATGAGAGCGATCGAGGCGGGTCGACGGTCTACTCTAGTCTTCATTGTAGGCAGGGCAGCCTTAATCATGTGAAATGCGCCCAACAAATTAACATCTAACATGAATTTCACCTCATCCATATCTTGCTCTGCCAGCTCCTGAGGTACGAACACGCCTTGATTCACAACAAGAACGTCAATCGGCCCGGCTTCATCTACAGCCTTGGAAATAGCATCGTAATCTCGAACATCGGCAGCGAAGACCGCCACATCAATACCAGTGGAGAGTCCGATTGCGTCCTTCGCTTCCTCGAGCTTCTTGAGAGAGCGCGCAAGAATGGAGACTCGCGCGCCCTCCGATGCGGCCTGGTGGGCCAACGCAAGCCCGATTCCGCTCGATCCGCCGGTAATGAAGACATGGCGATTCTTCAAAGGAATTTTAACGGAGCGAGGACGAACAATTAGGTATAGGAAAATGAGTAGTGCAAGAGGAAGAAGAAGAACCAGAGAGATGAAGGCGTAATTGAAGTCCGCCATTGATGGAAGCTTCCTGGTGGAGAAGTAAACGAGATTTATTGGTTGGTTCCTCCCAATTTGGACAAACAGACCTTTTCTTCTTCCTCTTTGTTTTCGTCCGGAACACTTCGACGGGAGATGCTCATTTATGAAACTAATTAATTATAAAATGAATATTTATTTTCATCTAAATTAATAAAAAAATATTATTAATATTTTCAAATTTCAAAAGTATAATTTTTATTTTAAAAATAATGCTTCCTCCCCTAATGGACCCGTTTTAAAATCGTAAGACTAACAGTCCTATGTAACAAGCAAAAGCGGACAATATCTATTAGCAATGAGTTTAGACTGCTACACTCACTTTTTTTTTTAAGTGCATTGAGTTCGTTCAAGTTCTTTTTACGCACCTTATTCGAAGAGCAGAACCATATTAATACTCGTTATTTGTTTCATTTCTATCATTCGAGTCTTAATTATTTTTTTCAATTTCAATTTAATATAGCAGTGTTTTGTTTGACCCAATTAAATAATTCACAGTACTAGATTCGACCTTGTCCATAAAGATCGTAAACGAAAAATTAGGTTAAAATATTCAATAAAACAAATCTAAGTGACTAAAAATTCAAATAGTTTAGTCAAGAGTAAATATTTTACGTCGATTGAGCTATATTGAACGATGCCCTCACTAATTATGAGAAGCTCGATCTCGGAAATAAAGATTCTCCGACCACGACCATTGAGAATAAGATTCATGGCCTATTCCACCCCCTTTGCCATGCCTAGTTAGGCAAGGCTTACTTTATATAATTAAATTTTCAAATATAATAATAAAATCCATCAAAGATTCCCAACAAAAAAAATAATATATATATATATATATTCTAATGACACCAGTTGGGTCACATGCTAGTTCCCTTTTACGAGCAATTAATTTATAAAAGATTAAAAATAATAATAAAAATAATATATTATATTCCAACTTATTAAATAATAGTGGTGGGGTTCCCTCCAAGTTAATTAATTAATTAATTTGTTTGATTTTATTTTATTTTATTTTTATCCTTTTTTTTTTTCATCCGTTTTGTGAATATTCAATGCATTGTAATAAAAATATAAGTTTGGAGTTATCCAGAAAATTAGCTTAAAAACAAAAAAAAAAAAAAAAAAA